GCACACATTCTACATATGTGGGGGGAAACGTGCAGGAAGAGGGCGGGGCTTAATCTCTATAACATAAAGAATGAAACGGTCATATCAGTCAAGAGGACAATGAAGGAAGCAACTCTACTCTGCAAGTAAAGAACATCTTTGTTTTAAACATTGAACTTTTATTGTCTGCTGTGTTAATCACTGATGATGGAGGACACATGAACAAGAAGTCAGGCTGATGTAACAGCAGATTAAAGAGTTGTTTCTTCCATGTTAACCAGTGAAATCCACAGAAATGAGTCAGTTATTACATCAGCTGACCTTTAAAGTGGACACAGGTCTTCATGATCAGAGCTACAAGTTGTGTCTATGTTCTTCATGCCGCCACACAACCATGACGAAGCAAGTGAAATAACAACCTTGAAGGCACAAAGACACAAATTTGTGCTGAAGTGTCGATAAACTCTGAAGAAAAAACAACAGTTCCACGCTGTGTTGGGAAAACCATCATCTGTGATTGTGACTTTTCTCCAGATGCTGACAGCTGTGATCATAGAGCGCAGAAGCTGAACTGAAGTGAAATAATTACATTCTCAACAAAGTGTTTACATGTGAGCAGTTACACATGAATGATTAACACATAACAGGCAATGACTTACCTTCCTGTGCTGCAGCTCCCAGCCACTTATAATAAAATTGCATCCCAGGGTCACACTAATACTGTCAACAATTTCAAATGCAGCTTTCAAATTTTTAAATCACATATTGGATCTGCACACAATGTGTTGTTGATATTCTTTCATATTCTAATCTTAATGTCCTTTCTTCCTACTTTTGATTTCAGTACTTTGCTGGACAACAATTGAAGGTCAGTAAACTTCAAACATCATATTTAAACTTCTTTAAATATGATGTTTAGTCTTAATGCGCTTAAAAGGGTGATTGAGGAGTCAAAAACCAATCCAGTTCCTAGATGATTGTTTGTTTTTCACTGAGCGACACAAAATCAAATTTTTACTGTTTAGGCTTTTGTTTAACATTTTTATATTCCTTTTTGCAAGTAATGAAACATTTTAATTTTAACCCTCACAGCTCGTCTGACTGTGAGTCCCAGCAGCTCTCAGTTCTTCGGAGGAGAGTTTATGTCTGAGCTGTGAGGAGGACGACAGCTCTGCTGAGGAGAAACACAAACAAACAACAGAGGACTCAGTGTGGAGCTGACTGGGTAAGGTGGTCTGGTTCCATCTGTAACATCTATGAATGGCACAGTGGAGTTTACTGGTGTGAGTCCAGAGAGGGTCCCATCAGTAACATGGTTAACCTGACAGTCACTGGTAAGCTGAGTGTGTGGAGTTAGTGTTGATGAAGCTGTGTGTAAATGGATGAAATGCTGTAGTTTGTCTCTGTGTTGAGGTGGA